TTCCCATTTCTTCCTTTAAATACAGTAATTTCTTGCTAAATTTTAGTCTAATTGGTCTATCACATGGTAATAGAGCAGTGTGTTGAAGTCTCCAAATATTATTGTGTTTCTATCAATGTCTTCCTTCAAATCTATTAGCAGCTGTTTAATGTATTTTACTGTTTCCTTACTAAGAGCACATATGTTTAAAAGTGTGAGGTCTTCCTAACATACCCCTTTATCATTAAGAAACCACCCTCTCAGGCTGGAGTGATAGTACAGCGGGGAGGGCGTTTGCTTTGCACGTGACCAACCCAGATTCAATTCCCGGCATCCCATATGGTCCCCCAGCACCTTCAGGAGTAATTCCTCAGCGAAGAGCTAGGAATAATTTCCGATCATCACCAGGTGTAAACAAGAAGCCAAAAAAAATAAATAAATAAAAAAATAAAAAAGAAAGAAATGACCTCTTGTATCTTAATGTCTCGTTCCTACTTTGGACAAACTGGCAGGCTACCGAATGTCACCTGCCCACACGGCAGAGTCTGGCAAACTCCCCGTGGCCAAATTCCAATAATAATGATGAGTCTCATTCTCCTAACTCTGAAAGAGCCTTGAATATGGCACTTTTAAAAAAATCTCAGGGCTAGGACGAAGGAGACATTACTGGGGCCTGCTCGAGGCAATCGACAATTAACAGGATGGTCCTGATCGTGACCTTTTGTGTGGCTGGAGAGATAGTACAACAGGTAGGACACTTGCATACGGCCAACATAGATTATTTGATCTCTGGCATCCCATATTGTTCCTTGAACCCACCAGGAGTAATTCATGAGTGCAGAGCCAAGAGAAACCTATGAGCACTGCCAGAGTGACTCAAAACCAAACAAAAAAGAAATGACCCCCTCTGTGCTTATAACTCTTTTAGTCCTGAAGTCAGTGTGTCTGATACTAGTGTGGCCGGCCACCTTGGCTTTTTTGTGGGTGTTGTTTTCTTGATCCTACTCAGATCGGGGCTGAGCATCCTCCACCCAGATCCTCCGAATTCCAGTAGGCGGGGGTCACACCCACCAGCTGGCCCCCTGGCGCCGTGTAATCCCATCAACGGCCAAGACTCAGAGACTATAAAAACCAGCTCCTGGAAGAGAACAATGCAGTCTCCTGCCCCCGCGCCTGGCTGTCCTCGCCGGGGCCCCTTGGAGGGAGCGGGTTGAGCTTTCCTCCCCGCCTCGACCAGGGCTCCGGCAGCCGAAGACCTCCAGGATCAGCCACCACCATGCTGAGACCGCTCTCCACACACCTGAAGGTACCGGCAGAGGAACAAAGGCAAGCGGGTCCCGGGGCTTGCAGCCGCGCGACAACTTATTATGACATCTTATTATCTCATTCCTACTTTGGACAAACTGGCAGGCTACCGAATGTAGCCTGCCCACACGGCAGAGTCTGGCAAACTCCCCGTGGCGTACCCAATATGCCAAATACCAGTAACAATGATGGGTCTCATTCTCCTAAAGAGCCTTGAATATAATCTCAGGGCTAGGATGAAGGAGACGTTACTGGGGCCTGCTCGAGGCAATCGACGAATAAAAGGATGGTCGTGATTCGTGTTTTCTTGAAATATTGTCCTCCAACCTTTTATTTGATTTTATTGAATGACCATGAGATGGAGTTACAAAGCTTTCATGTTTGCAGTTCAGCTCTACAATGATCGAACACCCATCCCTCCACCAGTGCACATTTTCCACCACCATTGTCCCCTGTATGCCCCCACCCCCACCCCAGTTCTCACCCTGCCTCTGTGGCAGACAGTTTCCCCAATACTCTCTCTACTTTGGGGCATTATGTTTTGCTTGAATCTCCCCACAATCATTTAGGTTTACCTGCCAGCGCAGATACTAGATAATTTATTTTCCATTACTCATTTTGATTATCAGGAGAGCTCGCGTGGCCACTTTTGCAGCTGTGTGCTTCTGGAATGCTAGATTGTAAATGGCTGGGTTCCAGAGACATCTCTGTAGGTCTCTAATCCATTTTGGGATTCCATTAGGAGTCTCTGGGCCAGAGCTGTTGGTGTGGTAAGATGGTGCCCGGAGGCAGATTGGGGGCCTGACAGCCAGGCTGCCTAGTGGGTGGGGTGCTGGGGAGGATCAGCCCGTCTCCTCTTTCCGCCATGTGGCCTAGAGATTTAGTTTTGGAACCTGCATACCAGGGCCTTGCTTGTGGAAGCTCTTGGTCCATTTAGAGTAGGAGGGATAGTTCACCTGCTCCATCTGGGGTGCCCAGTGAAATTGGCTTGGTATGGGTCCTTGAGAGACACTGTGGTGTCTTCCAGGACTCACTGCTGTGTCCCATCCTTTGAATTTGAGTCTGTGTATACCCTTACTGCCCAGCTGTATTTCTTTTTTTTTTTCTTTTTAAACTTTTTATTTATTGAATCACTGTGAGAACGGCCACAAAACCTTTCACTTTAAGTCTCAGTCGGTCATGCAATGATCAACACCCATCCCTTCACCAGTGCACATTTTCCATCACCAAGAACCCCAGTATACCCCCCACCCACTCCTCCCCCTGCCTGTGTGGCAGATTTCCACTTTACTCTTGCTCTACATTGATCACATTCAGTATTACGACAAAAGAGCCACCATTATTATTTGGAATTTTCCCCAGCAATCAGACATGCCAAAAAGACATCATTAGAAAATTTGTTTTCTATTGCTGATTATGGGGCTGGAGTGATAGCAAAGCAGTGGGCATTTGCCTTGCACGCAGCCAACATGGCGGACCCGAGTTCGATTCCTCCGCCCCTCTCGGAGAGCCCAGCAAGCTACCAAGAGTATCTCGCCCGCACGGCAGAGCCTGGCAAGCTCCCCGTGATGTATTCCATATGCCAAACACTGTAACAAGTCTCACGATGGAGACGTTATTGGGCCTGCTTGAGCAGATCGATGAACAACGGGAGGACAGTGATGATGTCGCGTGGCTGTGATAGATTTTGGATTTCTGATATTTCAGTAATAAATCTGGAGGGATTACTGCCAAAAAGCTGCTGGGTTCTGAGATTGGTGTGTGTGCCTCTGGGATCAAGGTCATTCAGGAGCCGGAGGAGGCATTCATAGGCGGCAACTCGGAGCCCTGTCAGGGCAGGGAGCAGGGCTGGTTCCACCCCCGATCCCACGAGGCCCCACGTGCCTCATCACCTGGCTGTCCTGAAGGCTCTGAAAGATGGTGACCACCATGCTGCCGTCGCCAGAGGGAAAAGGCAGAGGGACAAACACCTTTCCCCTCCCAGGGTGGCATGGCACTGTAGTTTAAAGCACAGTTCAGATGTATTTCTGCCAAAAACTGGTGGTATCTGAGATTGGTTTGTGTGCCTCTGGGATCATGGCCATTCAGGAGCCAGAGGAGGCATTTGTGGGTGGCAATTCAGGGTGGGGAGAAGGGCGGGTTCCATCCCCCATCCCTTGAGGTCCCATGTGCCTTGTCACTGCAGCCTCATACGTGGCTCATACCATTAGGCCCTGAAAGATGGTGGCCACCATGCCACCGTCGCCAGGGGGGAAAGGCAGATGTATTTCTTACAGGCAGTAGAAAGTTGGATTCAGTTTTCTAATCCATCTTGCCACTCTTTGTCTCTTAATCAGTGAATTTTGGCCATTAACATTGAGTGAGATTATTATCATGGAATTTCTTGCCATCTTTGTGTAAGTTTGGTGTGTTTGTGTTATATTTCTTATCTTAAACTAGCCCCTTCAGTTCTTTGTGTTAGGTTGGTTTTGAGTCTATAAAGTTCTTAAGCTGTTGTTTACTTGTGAATTTGTGCATTGTTCCTTCAAGTCTGAATGAAAGTCTGGCTAGGTAAAGTATCACTCATTTTACTGTGTTTTTAGAAAAAAAACTATATCCAACCATTGTCTTTGATTTCACAGGGTGTCATTTGGTCAATCTGCTGTAAATCTTTTTTTTTTTTTAATGGGGGTTGGGGCACAAATGGTGATGATCAGGGTTTACTCCTGGCTCTGCACTCAGGAATCAATCCCAGCAGTGCTCAAAGGACCATATGGGATGCAGGAGATAGAATACAGGTTGGCTGCTTTAAATTTTAAGGAAAGTCCTTTGTATATAATTTCATTTGTCGATCTTTAAGTATTCTATCTCTCTCTATGGCTTTAGTCATTCTGATTGAAATGGGTCACAAAGAATTTTCATTTGGATCTTTTTTACCTGGTACCCTTGGGGTATCTTGAACTTGGGGGCGTGCGCTCTTCGACTTGGAAAACACCTCAATAATAATTTCTTTAACTATTACTTCTACATCAGAATTTTCCTCCTGGTCTTCTGGACCTTGTGAGTCTTCTCTCATTCCTCTTGAATTCATCTCCACCTTGCCTCCTTTTAGGCACTGTGGATTACAGTACTGTAGTTATAGGGTATCATGCATGTCACTCGACCCTTTTCAGCAGCTAGTCCAGACGGATGCAGAGTGAGCACTCGCCTCCGTCACTGGTTATAGTGGTTCTTTCCCTGCCCACACCTCACACCCCCTCAGTAGCTGGCTTCCTACCAGCACCATTTCTGCTCACTGTTTCTTTCACTTTGGCCCATTGGCTATTCCCCCACTATGTCTCTTTATATCCCACATATGAGTGGGTTTATTTTATGTCTGTCCCTCTCCATCTAGCTTATTTCATTCAGCTTGATACTCTAAGGACAGATTTTAGGGAAGAACAGGGAGAACCTGTGGACTGTGAGTGTGCATGATGCAAGGAAAGATTGCCTCCTCCGAGCGAGTCCGCGTCTCCGAGACCACCCTCTCTGTGGAGCATGAGTAATCCATTTGAAAGCAACTTCTTTCATTAGCTGTTGCTGGTAGGGAGAATTCAGGATAAGCCGCTAAAAAAAAAAAAGCCACTAAAAGAAGTCATTAAAAGTCTGCATGTGTTATACATTCTCAGGTCCTATTTTACATGTTACTAATGGAAATCTTGGGGCATAAACATTGACTCTTTTTTCCTCTTGTGTAGTAAGAAGAAAACATAACTTATAGACCATCTTCTCGCAGAAGATGATGGATTTGGATTATAAACGGGAGGCATTGGAAGCCAGGAATCAAAAGTGAAGAAGTTTGGCAAGCCCTTTGGTGAGAAAGGTGACAAAGGTTTATTATTTATTTGCCTCGCACATTGTTATGTATGGTTATCTGCTGTAAGCGTGTTGCTCTTAGGCTTACAGGGAGCGTCACAGCTGTTAGAGAGGAGCAACAGACGGTTGGAGATGAAGTTGGTTGTTTCCCCTCAGACTGCTTCACTTGGTGTTTTCTGCTGCCACATCGTCTGTCTTCATTTCTACGTATTTCCCGGGGCCCTCCCTCCTCCCCCCGCCCCCCACCTCATTTCCAGGACTAAAGTCTTAACCTGAAATTCCCCATGAATATTTATAGTTGACGTTTATCAAATTCTTATTACCTCTGTGCAGTTTGTTTCTTTATTCTCCCATACCAGTTCCTCTTCAGAACAACCCAGTGATCTAGATACTGTGACCGATCTGTTTTGTATTAAAGTTGAGGTTCCAGAAGTGTTCTTTTTCTCTCAGAAAGAAAGTAGGAAACTATATTTGGGTCTCCTTCAGTGTATAAATGAGTATAAATCCTTCAGTGCATAAATGAGCATCCCAACTTGACCACTTTTTAAAAGGCTTTCAATGCCTGGGATTTAAAACATTTAAGTTTTTGTTATAAAAAATTTGAAAATCAAAGAGAAAGAAATCACTTATAATAGTTTACATTCCTCTCTTAATATTTTAACAGATTTACTTTGATGCTTCTTTGACATCTGCACATATTCCCTATAGAATGAATATTCTTTAGAAGCCTGACACTTTAAATAAAGCACACCTAGATTTTAATGTCTCAAAGGATGGCTTGAGAATTCTAGCAGTTTGAAGTCTGCAGAGACAGTACGGACGGTAGGGCACTTGCCTGTACAGGGCTGACCTGGGTTCAATCCCTGGTATCCCATATGGTCCCCTGAGTACCACCAAGAGTAATTCCTGAACACAGAGCCAGGAGAAACTCCTGAGCATTGCTGGGTGTGGTTCTCAAACGAAAACAAACGAAATAATTTTAGCGTTCAGAAGCTGGAGCAATAGTAAAGTGAGTAGGGTGTTTGCTTTGCACATGATGGACTCTGGTTTGATCCCTTGCATCCCATGTGGTCTGTGTTTTCTTCCCGCCCCCCACCCCCAGTCCCCCAGAGTGATCCCTGAGCACAGAGCCAGGAGTAAGCCCTAAATACAGATGGTTGAGCAGAAAAAAAAAAAAAACACACCAAAACCTGGCACTATGAGTGAAAGAAGCCTAGCAGATTTCCAAATCAATGCTTATGCATGACACACACTGCATGTATACCAGATATTTGCTTCTCATTTTTGTTTTGTGTATTCAGAAAAGGGACTTTTGTTTTAGTTTAAGTTGCATATAGTACCGTTACATTATATTATACCGCCAGAGCCTGACAAGCTACCCGTGGCGTACTCGATATGTCAAAAACAGTAACAATGAACGGTCCTCATTCCCCTGACCCTGAAGGAGCCCCCAATATGTCATCGGGCTACACTTGCACGTGACAGGGACGAATGGAGACGTTACTGGGCCCCGCTCGAGCGAATTGAAGAACAATGGGGTGACAGTGATAGTGATAAGACCGTTACTGTCATGAATAAAAAAGCTCTTTCTAAACTCAGTGGGGTCTTCCCTGTCTTCCCCATGATAATTTTTTGTTGTTGTTGTTTTGTTTGGGGGAGGCGGTGTTACCCCTGCTCTGACCTAGGCCTCGCTCTGTGCTCAGGGGTCACTCCTGGTGGTGCTCACCTACTGTACTAGCTCTCCAGTCCCTCCCAAGATAATGTTTTACCTTTTTTTCTTTTTTTTAGTAATATTTTTAATTTTTAATCACCATGAATTATAAAGTTACAAAGTTATTCATTAATAAGTTCCAGGCATACAATGTTCCAACACTAATCCCTCTGCCAGTGCCCGCATTGCCTCTAGACCTGGTACTTTTCCCCTTCACCATTGTCCTTGTGTTCCCCTCCCTAATTTACCCCCCATCCCCACCCTAGTGGTCCGCTTCCCATTGAAGACCTGTTCTCCTTCTTTCTGTTGCCTTTGGACCTTTGTTATTTTCTTAAAAATGTTTCTTTCTGTTCCACATGAGAGAGATCATTCTGTGTCGGCCCCTCTCCCTCAGACGAGCTTCGCTCAGCGTGAGACGCTGCAGGCCCGTCCATGTAGCAGTGAATTGCTTTTGCTATCTTTGTAAGCCTTGCTCAAATCCACTTCTTCTTGAAACTTCTCTTGATTTCTAGGCTTATAGCAATCAGTCTCTGCCCCAGGCTTCTTTCTGCTGATTCCATCTCTTATTCACCCTGTTGCCTGTTGGCTAGCAATAATATATCTTACCCATTTTTAATTTTCTTACACATTTTTCTACTGCCTGGTCCAGTGCTTTTTCGTGACAACCATTTCTCGTTCCTTTAGTATTTTTTTATTCAAATAAATTGCTATTAATTTCTCTAAGAGTTTGAATGTAAATTTCTGGTATGTCTTTTCATGTCTTGTAGGTTTCTATCACTGTAACCATGCCAGAAATGACAGAGAATGAGACTCCTACAAAAAAGCAGCACAGGTATGTAGATACAGACTATAAATGATATATTTTATAGATAAGAAATAGAATTAGAATTGGTCTCTCTCTCCCTCTTTCTCTATTTGCTAAATAGTTAGTCCTTAGGGCACCTTCATTTGGATAATGAGAAAACTATTGCTCTCCAATAATATCATAGATGTAGATTTACCGAAAAGTCGTATAAACTAAAGAATTTACATATCCTTATTGTACTAGCAGTGTAACAAATAAGGTACTTTTAGTGGTTAAAATAATACCAGTTATTTGCCAAATATTTAGTTTCTCCTGAAAATTTAATTTGTAGCCTGTAGATCCCAAGTTTCACTTAGGGTGAAATCAGTTTGGGTAGACATTTTATGATCTTAAAATTCATTAAAACAAATATGCAGTATTATTTCTGGTTCTCTCCATAGCCCCCTTTCTGAATTTGTCAAAGTTTGGGCCGTATTTCTGCTAAGAATTGCACAGCCAGCCAGTGTTTCCATTAATACTAAGTTGTTCTTTTTTCTTGGCAAATAGCTATTAGAGAATGCTAACACACAAGTAATTGCACATTAAGGGGGAAAAATATTTTCACTGATTCATTAAAAGATTAGCTTTGTAAAAAGCTTCAGAGTTTGGGTAACCTTAGTGCACAAATGAAGAAAGTAGCACAGTTCCCAGTTGTCAGAGATGGGTTCCAGTGGTGCCACACTTGCCTCCCTGGGGATTACTTGATTTTTTTTGTACTGTTGCTTGTTTCCCTTATATGTCCAGCTCTACCCCTGGCCAGGTGCCAGAGCAAACACCAGGAGTCACCCACTTGGTACAACACTTTGAGAGGTAACTAGCTCCTAATTTACATTTTTAAGAGAGTAAAGGTTTACAAATGATTGATTATGTCCAAATCAATGGCATTTGGGTGTGTAAGAATGGAGGATTATGGCTACTTTTAGAAATTGTGGATTTCAAATTTATATTGATGTATCTATAATTAGGTCTCTGTACTATAACCCCTTTTAAGAACAGTTTTCTTCCGATAGCATCTTACTGATCGAGTTATATAAATTCATAAAATCAATTTTACGGTTCTCAAAATAAAAAGTGGTGAGAATGTTTTCCCATTATTTTCATGTTCCTTTTATCTGCGTTTTTGCTTTTCAGAAAGAAAAACCGGGAGACACACAATGCAGGTAGAAACAATTTAAATTTTATTTGCTAGCATTTTTACTTTAAAAAAAACTTTCTAGCTGTTAATTATATTTATAATTTAATTATAATTTTCTCCCCTTTTAGACCATACCCAGTAGTCCTTAGGGGCCACTCCTAGCAGAACATATGGTGCCAGGAATCAAACCCAAGACTCCTGCATCCAAAGCATGCACTCCAGCCCTCCAACCCGTTCCCCAGCTACTGGTTTTAATTTTTATGCTAAAATTACAAGATCATGATTTGTTCTGCACCCCATAAGACTGAGTTTGCTGATTTTTTTTTTTAAAAAAACCTTTAAACATTTGGGGACCAGAGACATAATTCAGGTTGTTAAAGTACATACCTTACACGTGGCTGACCTTAGTTTAATCTTATTTTGCTTTAGGAAAGTATTCCTTTATTCATTTTAATTGACAGACATACTCTGAATCACGTGAGGATGATTTATTATATTCTGACTCACCTATATAGATAATTTAATAATTAACATATTCATGCAGGTAATGTTTTAAGTTATCACTCACTGGGGAAGTCCAGTATACTTCTAAATAGAATGCAGGGCATGTTTGTTTCTTGTTTTTTTTTTTTTTTTTTGCTTTTTGGGTCACACCTGGCGTTGCACAGGGGTTATTCCTGGCTCTGCACTCAGGAGTTACTCCTGGCGGTGCTCAGGGGACCATATGGGATGCTGGGAATCGAACCCGGGTTGGCCACGTGCAAGGCAAACGCCCTGCCCGCTGTGCTGATAGCTATTTCTGAACAGTTAAGAAAGTATTTAAGCTGCTTTAACCTCCCTAGATAGACTTTCTATGCCCATGGGCTAGATAGAGGCAGATTTCTAGTAACTTATTAGTGGATTTTTGAAATGTAACATTAAAATATCTAGTGATTACTTGAAATATAATAGCCTTATAGTAGTATTCTGTGATCAATTTCTGTAGGCAATCTGTATTTAATTATGATTATCATGTCCTTTAAAATGCCAGTAAAAGTATTTTTAGGTCACCTTCCATAATACTAGTTAAATTGTGACATTATTGGAAATCTCATTGGAGTTGTTTTGGTAGGTACTCTTTGTTAAGATTTCTGAAGGTAGGAGAGCTTGTAGGGGGAGGATTGGCAGAGAGTATGGCTTGTAGGGTGCTTGCGTTGCGTGTGGTGGGCCTGGGCCTCAGAGCTGGGAAAAGCCCCGAGCGTTGCATTGCTGGGTCTGGCTTCCCCCACAGACCTGCCCCCTACAAAAAGATCCCCAAAGGACTCCTTTACCTAAAAGGTCTTTTCCCAGGGAGAATGAGTACCTTGACAGTCGTACTATGACGTTTGATAAATGATTTCCCCCCTATCTAGTGGAGAGACACAGAAAGAAGAAAATCAATGCTGGGATAAACAGAATAGGAGAACTCATCCCATGTTCCCCTGCACTGAAACAGGTAAGAAGGGCTTTCCTACTTCATTTATTACTAGCGAACAGATAGGTCCCTAGTTTGTTTCTTTACTCTTGGGTATTTTTGTTCTTTGCCATTTATGAATTTTGGAGTTAATCATAGTTTAGGGGCTGGAGCAATAGCATAGTGGGTAGGGCATTTGCCTTGCATGCGGCCGACCCAGGTTCAATTCCCAGCATTCCATTTGGTCCCCTGAGCACTGCTAGGAGTAATTCTTGAGGGAAGAGCCAGGAGTAACCCCAGAGCATCGCGTGCTGTGACCGAAAGAGAAAAAACAAAATCATAGTTTATTGTTAGCTTAAATTTTTATATACCTTATTTGAATTCTTTCTATACTTCAAATATTTATTATGTGATCAGATGTACTATATGCTTTCAGATCTCTAATTAAGATCTTGAATTACTTTGATCTTGAATCATGATTACATCTACATATAGATGTGTTAATCTGTTTGTGAGGCATTGGGGAAAAAATTCAGCCAAATGGTCCCCAAGACAGGAGTGATTTCTGAACGTAGAACCAGGAGTAAGCCCCAAGCACCTCTGGGTATGGCTGCCAACAACAACAACAACAAAAAACACAGAACAAAACAAAAACTTCTGCCAATTTGCATTTGTTAATATCTTCATTGTTTTTTTTCTGTGAAGTCAGTGTAGATAAAAGATCCCAACTCCTTGGGGCTGGAGCAATAACACAGCGGGTAGGGTGTTTGCCTTGCATGCAGCCTACCCGAATTTGATTCCCAGCATCCCATGTGTCCCCTGAGCACTGCTAGGAGTAATTCCTGAGCGCAAAGCCAGGAGTAACCCCTGAGCATTGCCAGGTTGGACCCAAAAATCAAAAAAAAAAAAAAGATTCCAGCTCCATAAGTGAAACTTTTCATCACTTAGATCCAGGATTGCATTTGCTGGTTTGTTCCATCACATACATCCATTGACAACTTTCCTTTGATGATTTATTGATACTTTTGGGTGACCAGTTCTTATGATCTATTCTTCATAAAGTTCCATGTACAGGCACATATGCTGCCCGAGCCCGTGTGTTGCTTGTGCCCACGTGGCTGAGCACATGTGGTGCCTGAGCACATACGCTGCCCGCATCTGCCCTCTTGAGATGTTTACTTTCATGTCTAATGCTGGAATGTGTCTATGGGCTCTCTCTGCCCTTGGAGAAGCCCACGTCCTCTCTTGAGCTCATTACTTGTTGTTGAGTCTGTGTTTGGGGTAGATGGCTCTCCCACTCTCCCACATCACCCGTTAACTAAAGCCCTGATGCCTGCTCACCCAATGCTTCCCGTTCTCTCCTCTTCCCCCAACCTGCCTCCTTGATTTTTTTTCTTTCTTTGTTCTTCTCCTCTCTAAACTCTGGGGTCAAGGATGATCCCCCTTTTATTAGAGTACATTTCCTCATTCAGTGTTCTATATACCACAGATAAGTGAGGTCATCCTGGGTTTGCCCTTCTTCTCGCTTTACTTCACTCAACTTGATATCTTCCAGTTCCAGCCATATTGCAGCAAATTGCACGATTTCATTATTTCTTGCAGCTGCATAATATTCTATTGTGTATATATACCACATCTTCATAATCTATTCATCAGTCATTGGGCACCTAGACGGATTCCTTGTCTTAGCTATTGTACTGAGTGCAGCAATGAATAATGGTGTGCATATGTCCTTTTGAGGGATTTTTTTTTTTTATGTCCTAGGGGTAGATGTACAAAAGTGGAATTGCTGGGTCATAAGGCAGCCCAATTCTAAGTTTACTGAGAACACTCCATACCATTTCAATAGAGACTGTTACCAGATAACATTCCCACCAGCAGTGGGTGAGAGTTCCTTTTTACCCTCTTTCTTCCTTTTTTAAGTAGGGGCCACACCCAGCAATGCTGGGGCTGGGGCCAGGGGCTTCTCCCTGTGATACTTAGCCCGATGGCGAGGACATAATGCCTCAGGCCTCTTCTTATAGTCGTGGTGGTGGTCAAGGGCCATACTCAAGCCTGGCTGTGGCGCTCACACATTTGTTGCTGTTGTTGTAGTGGTGCTTGTGGGGGCTTCCATCAGGTTGCAGTGCTCTTGCCATGGTGTCGTGCTTGCCAGTATGGAGACTCCTTTAGTTGTCGACTCACATTCCTTTTCTTGTTGTTTTTTGGTTTTTGGGTCACCTGGTGTTGCACAGGTGTTACTCCTGGCTCATGCACTCAAGAATTACTGCTGGCGGTGCTCAGGGATGCTGGGATATGGGATGCTGGGAATCGAACCCAGGTCGGCCGCATGCAAGGCAAATGCCCTACCCACTGTGCTATTGCTCCAGCCCCTCACATTCCTTTATTTCTGATGGTTACCCATGTTCTCGTGATCGCTGCCGCAGATGATGTTTAAGGCTATTTTTACAGTGCTTGCTAGAGGCTGCCCCCCTTTCCTTGAGGTGCTCCCACACACCTGGCTGCAGTCCAGTAGAGGTCACTGACAGCTGAATCACCAGACTGGCATAGCAGAGCTCTTCTGGGCCAGACCCTGCACCTGTGGCATGGCTGGGGATGGAATTCGTGGTCTCCCTTTGCGAGGCAGGTGCTCAGAGCCTGAGCCAGCCTCTCAGCCATCCACTCTGGCTTTGGACTGAATTGACATTAATCATTTGCTGTTATGATTATAAATGTTACATAGGTTGAGGCAAAAAGTTTACCATACTCAGATGTAACTTTGTTTTTTATATAGTTAATAACGGCCTTACTGTTTTTTCACTTTCTAAATTTTCTATATGTCTATCTATAATTTCCCCCATGTTTCCTCTGTCTTTCAGACATCCTTCTGTATAATCATATATACCATATAATTTTCATCTTCTTTTCTTTTCTTTTTCTTTTGAGACTTTACTTTTTAGCCCTCTATTCTCTTTTGAGCTCTGCTGGTTGGTCTCCTCGTTTTCCTGTGTTCTTAATTTTTAAGGGCATTTTTTTTCTTTTTTTTTCATCCACATATATATTTTTAAATTTTTTATTATTGGAATAGTAATGGAATAGTAACGTCTCCATTGGACGAACGAGGGGCCTTTTTTTTTTTTATTATTGAATCACTGTGAGGTACAGTTATAAGCTTTCATGTTTGAGTTTCAGTCATGCAATGATCAAACACCCATCCCTAAACCAGTGCACATTTCTCCACCACTAATGTCCCCAGTATACCCCCACCCCTTTCCAACCCTTCCCCTCCTTCCATGGCAGACAATTTCCCCCATATTTTCTCTCTACTTTGGGGCATTATGGTCTGCAATACAGATACTGAGAGGTTATCACGTTTGGTCCTTTATCTACTTTCAGCATACCATCTCCCATTCTGAATGATCCCTCCAACCATCATTTACTTAGTGATCCTTTCTTTATTCCAGCTGCGTTCTTCACCAGATCATGAGGCAGGCTTCCAATTATGGGGCAATATTCCTGGCCCTTGTGTCTACTGCCCTTGGGTATCTATCTCATACTATGTTATTTTATATTCCACAAATGAGTGCAGTTCTTCTATATCTGTCCCTCTCTGACTCATTTCACTTAGCATGATACTCTCCATGTCCATCCACTTATAAGAAAATTTCACGACTTCGTCTCTCCTAACAGCTGCATAGTATTCCATTGTGTAGATGTACCAAAGTTTCTTTAACCAGTCATCTGTTCTCAAGCACTCGGGTTATTTTCAGATTCTGGCTATTGTGCTGCAATGAACATACAGGTGCAGATGTCATTTCTGCTGTATTTTTTGCACCCTTGGTCATCCATATATTTTTACACAAGCCACATTTTCCCTCCCTCGGGCAACAGTATCATCTTGCCTTTTTTCTTTCTGTATTTTTTGGACTACCTGTGGTGCGCAGGGCCTGCGGCCATGATGGTTGGGGATTGCTCTCGCCAGTACTTGGCGAACCATTGTGGTGCCAGGGATTGAAGTTGAGCCTCCTGCATGCAGAACGTTCCCTCCAATCTTATGAATGGTCTCACCACTCAAACAATTACACAGGTTTTTTTCCCCCCAATGCTGGGGATCAAACCTGGGGCCTCATAGTCACAAGGCAAGTGCTCGACGGCCGAGCCATAGTTCAACCTGTGTCCTCACACCTTGTCTTTTAGAGTGTCGTATAGGATTTGTAAAAAGTTTCCCTCTATTTTTCTGTTCTGTCTGTTGTATATTCCTTTTCTACCCCTTTTGGGCCTGATTTGCAGCTGGATTTCCATACTCGTATCTGGTGTGGATGAAATGGGGGTCCCACCTATGTAAGGATAGTCACCCCGACCCCTGTGCTATCTCCCACCTACTTTAACTGTACGTAGATGTGCGTAACATTCTGGAAGTGAACACAAGTAACTTTTTTTTTTTCTTTTTGGGTCACACCCGGCAATGCACAGGAGTTACTCTTGGCTCATACACTCAGGTATTACTCCTGGCGGTTCTTGGGGAACCATATGGGATGCTGGGAGTCGAACCTAGCGTGCAAGGCAAATGCCCTACCCACTGTGCTCTCACTCCAGCCCCCAACAAGTAACCTTCTTATGGTTGCTATGGGAAAGGGGTCTGGAGAGCTAAAGCTAAAATGAATTATGTGGTCATTTAGGATTATTTGCATGTTTGCCTTATGTACATATTATATTTCTAATTAAAAACATTAATTTTTGAATGAAGAACAGGGACACATGTTTGATAGAACGTACAATCTCTCTGGAAAGGCTTAGGGATGGAATCAGGAGCATGACACCAGAGTTCAATCAAGTAATATTGTTTCTTTTTTTTTTCAGCCTATTAGAATAGCTTGTAGTTGTGGTTGACTGAGTGAAGAATAACATTAAAATCTAAATTCCTAGTGAGAGAGATCTATCCTAAGTATCAAATTTTAAAAAATAAAGTGGGGCTGGAGCCGTAGCACAGCGGGTAGGGCGTTTGCCTTGCATGCGGCCGACCCGGGCTCGATTCCCAGCATCCCATTTGATCCCCCCAGCACTGCCAGGAGTAATCCCTGCGCAACGCAGGGTTTGACCCAAAAAGCAACGTAAAATAAATAAAAATTAAAAAAATAAAGTAAGAGAACAACACCGATGTTGTGTATAGAACTGAGCTTATATAGGAGGTTGGTGGGGGAGGGGGGTTGTCCTGGGGACACAGGGAGAGGGGAAGCAGCTCTTTGGGGGCGGGGGTAGTGTTGGGATGATGCATCCATGAAAAGTATGAGGGACAACATAGTAAATCCTAGAACCAAAATTAAAATGGTTTAAAAAAATTTTTTTTCAATCTCAGTTCTTCACATGTTCTTGAGTCCCTTCCTCCTGCTGCTCTTCCCTCCCATGCATCCCTCTAGCTGTGCTCACCCTCAGAATACTTTCCTGGCAAACCAAACAGAGCCTTACCCAAGGGCCTTCCCTACTGTGGATTCCATTGCGCCCATTTTCACAGAGCATCCTTCCATGTTCTTCCATCTGGAATTTGCTCAGAGATCAATTTTTTTTTAAAAAAAAAATAAGGTCTTCTAACCTTAAACCCCATAAACAAAATAGATTATTACAGAGTGACTTAGCCAGTTTGTGCTGTTAGAGAATAAAACTACTGTAGGCTGGGGAATTTATCTGTTGTTTTGTTTGGGGGAAGGGGGTCACATCTGGTGGTGCTTGGGAGACACTCCTGGTTCTTTGCTGGGGGGCAGGTGGGTGCTCAGGAGTGCTTGGGGACCATTTGGTTCTGGGTACTGAATCCTGTTTTCCTGCCTGCAAAGCATTCAGCCTGTTGAGCTGTTTTGAGAACGTGGGTAATTTCAACAATAGGACTTCTTACAGCTCTGGAGACTGGAGTTTTACTGTCAAGGGGCCTGCTACCTAGTGTGGGCTCTCTTGCTAGTTGCACCTTCGCATGATAGAGCCATCACCTCTCAGGTCTTTTCCTACACTGACACAAACCTTGTTCATGAGGGTCCGTCTTCATCGCCTAATTAAGTAGTATCATTTAAGGCATTAATTAGGGTTTCATCATGGGTACTTGGGGTACACAGATTCAGTCCTTACCAAAGTTTTATTTTTCTTTTGGCAAGCTATTACTGAAGCTTTCACTGAAACTTTTAAATGGTTCTTTTTCTTTGGCAGAGCAAGAATATGATTCTGGACCAAGCTTTTAAGTATATTACAGAATTGAAAAGGCAAAATGATGAGCTCCTACTTAATGGAGGAAACAATGAACAAGGTAAAGTATTTAAAATTTTTAAAAAAATAATATATTTTTAATATTCAGGACTTTATGTTACGCTGCAACTTATGTTAGGAAACAGAAGGCCTCTTTGCCTGAAAACATGATTAAGTCAGTGTAGTTAGTGGTCTGTGAAAATAGCACTGCAAGTAAATTCCTATTTCTTTACCTCTTTCCCCACTTTCTGTGAGCAACTCTGACCTTGCAGACATACACAGTTTTGGACTTTGCCTCGTACTTCATGGTTTGATTCCAGTTGGATCTGCCAGCCAGGGAAATCCTGTAAAGCAAGTGTAAGGAGAAATTTTAGTCAGAGTGTCAGTGTACTCAGAGACAAGCTTAAGGATCGGATTGTGCCAAGTCACACTTGGAAATTAAGTCTTTAGGACCAAACATTTAGTTCATAATTATTTATATGGTACATAAACATGTGTGTGTCAGACTACCAAATGATTTAAAATCTTTCATAATAACAAATGAGTTCTGAGGAAAAGGTTTCCTTATAATAGCTGTAAGAAAAATATCCCAGTCCAGGGGAAAGATCACGGTGGTAGACCAGTTTGTTTTCCTTTTGGCTCAGAGCAGAGAATGAATTTCTTATGACAGCTCAGCAGGTCACCTTTAAAAGGGCAGGATTTGCTAAGTCTCGGGCAGTGTTTGACTGTATTTTCTTAGTATTTTCTTACTATTTCTTACAATAGTAAGAAATGGGATGGAATTGAAAAGTATATCCAGAAAGTTCACTGTATCACTGTATCACTGTCATCCTGTTGTTCATCGATTGCCTCAAGCAGGCCCCAGTAATGTCTCCTTCGTCCTAGCCCTGAGATTTTAAAAAGTGCCACATTCGAGGCTCTTTCAGGATCAGGAGAATGAGACCCATCATTGTTACTGGTTTTTTGTATATTGAATACACCACGGGGAGTTTGCCATGTGGGTAGGATATTTTTGGTAGCCTGCCAGGTTCTCCAGAGTAAGAAATAGATAATAAGATGTTGCACAGCCGCAAATGCAGCAATGTGCTTCCGGAAGCAGACTTTTATAGTCTCTGGGTCGGTGCCGGGGGCAGTTGGTGGGTGTAATGCCTACATACTGGAAGATGGGGGATCTGAGTGGAGGAGGCCCTAGTCCCAATCCGAGCAGGCTTGGAGATCTACGCCCTGGGTCTCGCACACCTGGGTTCCTCTGCTGGTTCCTCCATGCATGAGGCTTGTCTGAACGTGTGGAGAGTGGTCTTAAGCATGGCTATGGCTGGAACCGGAGGTCTTCAGCTGCCGGGGCTCTGAAATTAGTCTTCATAATTCTCCCAGTGTTTCCGTTTACGTACATGTCTGCTCACCCCTCATCTCTCTCCACTGGTTTTTTGTGACACAGGTGCTTTTTATGCTTCTATCGTGCAGACAGATGTATAACTTAACATTTGGTAACTATTTCGACCCATCCTCCAGAAAGGGTATCAAGGTCAGAATGCTGCTTTGACTTCTCAAAGGAGAGCGCCATTGGCTGCAAAGTCCCACGACTGAGTCAGGGGATGAGCTGGGAAGGGGGATGGCGGGGAGGGGACTCTGAAAAAAAAAAAATCTAAGTTGCACAGAACTCAGGAAAGGCTCTGGGGGCAGCACTTAAAACAATTCATGTCTGACTAGATTATTTCTGTCATCAGCATTTCTCTGATTCTTTTTGTGTGGGGGGAAGGGAACTTCACTCATAAACAGTAATGCCTAGGTTCCCTGGGGACCACTCAAAGAGGAATTGGCACACTGGTTTAATGCTCTGGCCCAGCAACTTGATGCTGCTCCCTAGAGCCACCCCTGCAGTGTTTGGGGGCCTTCAGGGTCACACCTAGTGGTTCTCAGAGGGCCAGAGGGCCTGGTGGTACTGGGAATTAAACTCAGGGCCTCTTGCATGCAAATCATATATTGCAGCTTTTTGAAACACCTTTTTTTTTTTTTTTTGGAACCTCCTTGTTTTCATCCAGGCAATTACCTTGAATACTCTCTACTACGTGACAGTCTAGGATGGTGGTCAGAGCAGCATCCCAGGGAGTTGGGCTCAATGTGTTAGCCCAATGTTTGGGCCAAAGTTTGGACCCTCATTTTAGCTTCAGCTTCATTACCCAATCCTAGTTGGTGAGCCTCTCAGAACCTCCTGTCTTTAAATAACGATAATTGTAGGGTCTGGTCAATTTTAGGCGAAGTAACTACTCTGAGCCTATCTCTCACATCTAAAAGTGATGAAGATAAGAGGTAGTTTCCGTCTTATGGTTGTTATGAGTGTTAAAGAGAGGATACAGGTAAAGTCTTAACACAAGCAAAAGCTTGATAAATGTTATCTTTGATTATTATTGCTGTTGTTGTAGTTATTATTAATATTTCAATAAATGAAAAGGGCCAGTCATCTAATAAATATGCAGTAAGTAGAACAATCCTCATTATTCCTCGATCCATAATAATTGTCCTTTAGTTTCTAAATCCATGAGACTTAAACAGTTTATTTTTACGTATGTTTTAAGCCACACCTGCAGTGCTCAGGGGTTATTCCTGCCCTGCACTCAGGAGTCACTCCTGGCAGTGCTCCAGGGATGCTGGGGATCAAACTCAGGTTGGCTGCATGCAAATCAAGCGCCTTACCTGCTGTGCTATTTCTCCAATCTCCAGGGTTTAAATGTTTGAGAAAAATAATCTTCTTGTTTTAGCTCATCTTGCCAAAACAGAACTTTTTATGTCAAACCACCTCATAGGACAATGGCCCTGAGGCCTGGCTGCCTAGATGGAGAGAGGCGGGAGAGTACTACTGTGGCAAAACCCTCCCAGGTCACAGAGGATAAATCCTAGCAGCTCCATTTCTCAGGTCCATGGGTGTCACTCTTTCCCAGAGAAAGGAGGAGTGGTATGACAAATATTCAGCAGCATACATACATTGACCCTGCCAAAGAAATGCAAGTTCATTCTTGACACTTTATTTGGTTCTCTTTCTTTGTTTTTTTTTTTTTTGACAAAAGATGCACCATTATTGTTTAGAATTTTCCCCCCCAACAATCAGAATTGCTGAAAAGGCATTGTGAAATACTTTGTTTTCTAAAGCTGGTTATGAGAATCATGTATCACGCAGCTGTGATTTTGGATTTCTGCAAAGAGCCAGATAATTATGAGATTGGTTTCTGTGCGTCTCGTGTTATGGCTGTGCCAGAGAGCCGCTGGTGGAGGGCAGCTCGTGACTTCAGTAGGGCGTGAAGGATAAGCGGGTACCGCCCCCCTTCCCATGAGACTGCAGTTGCCCCATCACCACCGGCTCTTACCTGGCTTTCCAATAAGCTCTGAGGCAGCAGCCACCTTGTATGAGGTCCAGATGCATTTCTGCCAAAAGCCACTGGGTTTCGAGATTTGTTTCTGAGTCTCTGGGTTCATGGCTGTTAATCAGCTTGATCAGGAGCCAGAGAGGTCGTTTGTAGACGGTGACTCGGGGCCTGGTTAGAATGGGGAGGAAAGGGCCGGTTCCACCCCCATCTGGTGAGGCCCCATGTGTCTCGTCACTGCAGGCCCAAACCTACCTGTCTAGTGGCCTTTGGAGGATGGCGGTCACCAAGCCGCCAGGGGGAACAGGCCAAGGCACAAAACCTATTCCCACCTGGAGTGGCCTGGCGCCAGTAACCTACTGCAGGGACCAGACACATTTCTGCCAAAAGCCTTTGGGTTCCAAGATTCGTTTCTGAGTCTCTGGGTTCATGGCCGTTAAGCAGTTTGATCAGGAACCAGAGAGGCCATGCCTTCAATTATATAGCTGAGCTGGAGGTGGTTTGTGGGTGTGTCTCCCACATACCTAACTTGTGGCCATTTACTTTCTTGGTAAACTTTGCCCCAAGTTTTTGGGGTCTGACCAGAGGTATAGCAGCAATTTTGGGGTATCTGAAAGTCTGACGGTGCCATCAGGCTGCTGATGCACTCGCCTCACAGATACAGATTGACCTGCTGGCGGCACCATACCCCTGGTGTTCTATTTCTTGACCTCTTACATGTTCTTCTTCAATTTCAAAGGGTAAAATAGAAAGTTGAGTAAAACCATTTGTACTTCCACCACAAATAATGTTATTTGTTTATTGTTTTAGCACTTAAATACTATTGCCTTGAGCCAGAGAGATAGTGCAGTGGGTAGGGCCCTTGTCTTGTATGCTGCCAACCCGGGTTCAATTTCTGGCACTATTAACCCTGCCCAGAGTACCACCAGGAGTGATCCCTGCGTACACAGCCTTGAGCATACTGGGTGTGGCCTCCAAACATAAATGCTATCCTATTGATATTCATTGTTATTTTCTTAACATGTTACTATATTATCAGTGTTTCAGTGTTGTTTCTACTTTTATAGTGTTATTTTATTGGCGGTTTTTGAATTGGAAATTTTGACCATGAGTGATTTTTGACATTTGGATTGTCAACCCTTAAAAACCAATACTTTCATAGTGTTGACTCTTACCATTTTTATGGCACTGAAACATTGTATGCCTGAACCTCTTACAACTTTGTAAATTCCTAAGTAATAATTGAAATTTAAAAAAAGGGTGGAGTAGAATACAGAGAAGAAGCTCCAGGGGCTGAGTGCATGCTTTGCAGGAGGTCAGTATTCCATCCCCAGCACACAGGCCCCCCCGAGCATCCTCAGGAGTAATTCTCAAGTACAGAGCTGGGAAAAGCTCACTGAAAATTGCTGAGTCTGCCCTCAAAAGAAAACAGGAAGGATGGAATAGTGATTGGAGATACAGTTCTAGAAAGAAGAGAGGACTTGGTTAGACAAGAACTTACGACTCTCTTGAGGGCTGGAGCGATAGCACAGCAGGTAGGGCATTTGCCTTGCACGCAGCCAACTGGGTTTGATTCCCAGCATCCCATATGGTCCCCTGAGCACTGCCAGGAGTAATTTTTGAGTGAAGAGCCAGGAGTAACCCTGTGCCTCGCTGGGTGTAACCCAAAAAGCCAAAAACAAACAAACAAACAAAAAAAGAACCAAAAAACAAAAAACTTACGACTCTCAACTAAAATATTTAGATTGCAAGAATTAGGTTTCTGCTGCTTATACCTGTTTTTCATAAGATATAAATGATAAATACACGTGAATGATAAATAGTGAAATTTACAAGTTTTTTTCACTCTTTATTGTACTACAGCTGAAGAAATCAAAAAGCTTCGTAAACAACTAGAAGAAATTCAAAAAGAAAATGGCCGATATATCGAATTACTGAAAGCAAATGACATATGCCTATATGATGATCCCACAATCCACTGGAAAGGAAATCTCAAAAACTCAAAGGTCTCTGTTGTTATTCCCAGTGACCAAGTTCAGAAAAATATCATCGTTTATTCCAATGGGAGTCAGCCTGGTGGAAACAGCCAGGGAACAGCTGTTCAGGGGATAACCTTTAATGTCGGTCATAATTTGCAAAAGCAGACTGCCAATGTGGTGCCGGTCCAGAGGACGTGCAATCTTGTGACTCCTGTGTCTATTTCTGGAGTTTACCCTTCCGAAAACAAACCATGGCATCAGACCCCAGTTTCTGCATTGGCCACCAACCAGCCAGTTCCTCTTTGTCTTCCTGCCACCATTCCTGCTCAAAATATTCTCGAGCTTTCCACCTCTGAAAGCGAATCGAGCGTGCTTGGTGTCACCAGTGGCGCATTGATCTCTGTTCCTGCTGGGCCTGAAGCTCACCAACATCACTCCTTGCAAGCAGGCTTAAGTGATGAAAATTCTTCTGAAAATAAGAGCGGACAAGAGAGCCCCAGCTTATTGAAGAAGACGGTCCCCTGTGCCACAAGCATCCCTTCCAGCTCCTCTGCAGCTGCCCCAAAAGTGTCCCATGGAAACAAGTCTTCCATGAGTACCCAGAATCTCAGAAGTGACTTTCAGACCACCTTTGTTGTTTCTGTCACCACCGCAGTCTGCTCCCAGCCTTCCAGAGCTGTGGGCGAGTCTTTTTCAGCAAGCATTAGCAAGGATAGAGACTCCACGAGTGAAACTGCAGTGGTGGCACCCTCTGCCCTTGGAGGAGAGAAGACCACCTCAGCTGCAGGCACTTTTTCTGCAACCACTCAGGACAGTGCTTGGACTCTCTCTTGCTCTTTGCCCTCGTCAGCAGTTAGCGCTTCAGACTTAAAAAACATGAATAGCCTTACCCGCATTTCCTCAGCGGGCAACACACAGACAACTTGGACTACTTTGCAACTGGCGGGAAACACGATTCAGCCCGTAAGCCAGGCTCCTCCGACTGTCGTGACACCAGTGTTAAGTGAGGCTGGTCCTTGCTCCACCACAAGCTACCACAGTAGACCTGTGACTGCTGGCATGACCTCGAGTAATTCCTTTCCAGCAGAGGGGCAGACAGTCGAGCAGGTCGTTGTGACCTTGCCTTCGGCGCCGTCTCTGCCACTGCAGCAGACACTCATTGCCCAGCCACAGGTGAAGTCTCAGCCACCGAAAAATATCCTTCCACTGAATTCAGCAATGCAAGTGATTCAGATGGCCCAGCCAATTGGGTCGGCTGTTAATGCAACGCCAGCGAATCAGAACGTTATCATTCTGCAACCACCCAGCACCACCCCCTGCCCAACAGTGATGAGGGCAGAGGTGCCCAACCAAACAGTGGGTCAGCAGATAGTGATAATACAGGCAGCTAATCAGAACCCTTTGCCACTCTTGTCTACACCACCAGCTGGTTCTGTTCGACTCCCCGTCAATGGAGCCAGTGCTGTCATAGGATCTAACAGTTCCGTGCAAAATGTTTCGGCCCCACAGACTTTTGGAGGAAAGCATCTTGTTCACATATTACCAAGACCTTCATCCTTAGCAACATCTAGTTCAACGCAAACTTTCTCTGTTACCATGTCAAACCAACAGCAGCCTCAAACCATTTCTTTAAATGGACAGCTCTTTGCTTTGCAGCCTGTGATATCTTCAGCAGGAACTACAAATCAAACGCCTATGCAGATTATTCAGCCCACCACCAGCGAAGATCCAAATACCAATGTTGCCCTGAATACATTTGGGGCTTTAGCCAGCCTCAATCAAAGCATATCACAGATGGCTGGACAGAGCTGTGTACAGCTGTCTATTAGCCAGCCTGCCAATCCCCAAACTGTTGCAAATAGTCAAGCCACCCCAATTAACTGTGTTACATTAACTACTGTAGCGTCATCTATGACAACTGATAATTCAGCCACACTACCCAGTAACTGTAACCTGGTCACTCCCGCCTCTGTGAACACTGGAAGTTCTTTGTCTAACATGAAGTCGAAAAGGTTGACTAAGAAGCCAGGTGCCAAGAAACAGCTAGCCACTAGCAAGCCAGTGTATCCCCTGAACCCAGTCAGAGACGTGGGGAAGTTAGACTGTCCCAGCACTGACAGTTCAGCAGAGCCACCATGTAACGACGGGCTGCTGGAGAACCTTCCCGTTGTGCTGCCACCTGTCACTATGTCCCAGGCCAATAGTGTCAGTGTTTCTGAGGCGCATTCTTTGGATGTCCTGCATTCTGAGTCAGTGATACCTGAGGCTGGATCTGGATCAAAGTCAGCAGAAGGATCTAGGTCACCGTCCCAGGAGCCTGTGACAAATGAACCTTTTGTGTCAGCCCCAGCTCAGTCCAAAGACTCAGACCCCATTCTCCAAGAGACCTCTCAGGATAAGCCAGCAGCTGGTTCGACCCTGTCAGATACTGCCAAATCCTGCACTTCAGCCAATGCATTGGTTCCTTCTCCAAATGATCCCCACACTTTGGTTTCTCAGGTTCCTGGCTTGTCATCTACCACAAGCACTACAATTTCTGACTGTGTTTCTGAGGTAGAAATCATTGCCGAACCCTGTAGGACTGAGCCAGATTCACCAGATACAATGCACGCCACAGGTCTGGCGAAGGGGCAGGGCTTAACGGCGTTGCTTTCTGGTCTTGCTAAAGAAAAAGACCCTCAGAAATCATCCCTTCCAGCCCCGGAGGACCATCCTGAATTTTCTTCCAAAAATTCTAAGCTAGGGGATTCCAGTGTGGATTTACATCCCAAGCAGGAGCTACTACTGATGAGCAGTGACGACAGAGACCCGGGACAGCCTCACCCCTGCCTCCCTGACCAGGAGATCATTAATGGTTCTTTGCTCGCCAATAGGCAGGCCGACTCTCCCATGTCAACCAGCTCCGGCAGTAGCCGGAGCTTCTCCGTTGCGTCCATGCTTCCTGAAACTGCAAGAGAGGATGTGACCAGCAGTGCATCCACTAACACGTGTGACAGCTGTACCTTTGCCGAACAAACAGATATTGTCGCGCTTGCGGCGCGAGCTATTTTTGACCAAGAGAACTTGGAGAAGGGGAGGGCTGGCATCCAAGCTGATACACGGGTAGCCACTGCAAAGCCTTCTGAAGCTTCCTCTCTAGAGGAAGAGCAGTCTTTCAAAGCACAGGTCCCGAAAGAAAACGGCTCCTCTGAGGCGGAAGCAGCACCAAATGAATTTAACTCCCAGGACTCAATGGAAACAACGGTGGAGAGGCCTCTGGAAAAGCCGAGTTGTTCAGTAGGAATCAAGACCTCAACGGCCTCGTTACAGGTGTCGACCTCTCAGCCACCGAGCATCACCAGTTTAAGCGTGAATAATCTCATCCATCAGAGCAGCATCAGCCATCCTCTTGTCAGCTGTGCTGGTTTGTCCCAAACGTCAGAGCAGGCAACCATTCCTGCAACGGTGAATCTGACTGTTTCTTCTAACTCCTACGGCAGCCAGCCCCCTGGGCCATCTCTGATGCCAGAATATTCGCAAGACCAGCTCACGACCATGGCTAGCACCATCGCAAATTCACAGATTCAGGAGCCGTTGCTAAAGCCCAGCCAGGAAAGCCGCAAAGACTCTGCGAAGCGTGCTGTCCAAGACGACCTTCTACTGTCTTCGGCAAAGCGACAGAAACATTGCCAGCCAGTCCCGCTCAGGCTGGAAAGTATGACCCTGATGAACCAACCCTCCGACAGTATCTCTGATCAAACACAGATGATGGTTACCCAGATCCCGCCGAACTCTTCAAACACAGCTGGACCCGTTAGCAACCCCACCCACGGAGATGGCCTTACGCGATTATTTCCACCTGCTAACAACTTTGTGGCCCCCGCATTGAGGCCGACTGAAGTTCAGTGCAGTTCCCAGCCTTCAGTTGCTGAGCAGCAGCAAAATCAGGCCAGTCAACATCTCCAGGCTCTGCAACAGCATGTTCCAGCACAAGGGGTGTCTCACCTTCATAGTAACCACCTCTACTTAAAGCAGCAGCAGCAGCAGCAGCAGCAGCAAGCAGGGCAGTTACGAGAGAGGCATCACTTATATCAGCTGCAGCATCACGTGTCTCACACAGAGAGCTCTGTCCACTCGCAGCCCCACAGTGTCCACCAACAGAGAACACTGCAACAGGAAGTCCAGATGCAGAAGAAAAGGAATCTTGTTCCGGGTGCACCGGCCTCGCAACTTCCCTTACAACCCAAGCACCATGGGACCGAGCAGCCTAGACCCAAGAGTGGCCAGCCCCATCCGCACCACCAGCAGATGCAGCAGCAGCTGCAGCGCCACTTTGGAAGCTCCCAGCCAGAGAAGAGCTGTGAGAACCCTCCAACTAGCCGGAGCCACCACACCCACTCCCAGAATCAGCTCAACCAAGATATCATGCACCAGCAGCAGGATGTCGGAAGCAGGCAGCAAGGATCAGGGGTCGCTTCTGAACACGTCTCCGGACATAATCCAATGCAGAGGCTTTTGACATCAAGAGGCATAGAGCAGCAAATGGTATCCCAGCCAAGTATTGTGACTCGAGCCTCAGACATGTCCTGTCCTCCCCACCGGCCAGAGAGAAATCGAGTTTCAAGCTACTCTGCCGAGGCACTTATCGGAAAGACCTCTTCTAATTCAGAGCAGAGAATGGGCATATCAATTCAGGGATCCAGAGTTTCAGATCAACTTGAAATGAGAAGCTACCTTGAGGTTCCTCGAAATAAGAGTTTAAGCATTCATAATATGCAGGGGCGCGTGGACCACTCGGTTCCCTCGGATATCCGCCTTTCCGATTGTCAGACATTTAAGCCGGGTGGAGTCAGTCAACAGCCCCCGAGTAACTTTGAAGTTCAGTCTTCAAGAAACAACGAAATAGGCAACCCTGTGTCATCATTGAGGAGCATGCAGTCCCAGGCTTTTCGAATTAGTCAGAACCCTGGCCCGCCACCCATTGACCGTCAGAAGAGATTACCTTATCCCCCTGTTCAGAGCATACCAACCGGAAATGCCCTCCCGACGAGGGACAGTGAAAATACATGCCACCAAAGTTTCATGCAGAGTTTACTCGCTCCACACCTGGGTGATCAAGTCATTGGGAGCCAGAGGTCACTCTCAGAGCATCAAAGGAATACCCAGTGTGGTCCATCCTCTGCCATTGAATATAGTTGTCCCTCGTCTCATGAAAGTGTCCATATTAGAAGAGAAAGTGAGAGTCAAAATAGGGAAAGTTGTGACATGTCCCTCGGTGCAATGAGCACCAGAAACAGCACCTTGAATATCCCCTTCTCGAGTCCTTCTTCGTCGGGAGATATTCAAGGCCGGAACACAAGTCCCAACGTTTCTGTACAGAAGTCCAATCCCATGAGAATTACTGACAGTCATGGGACGAAGGGCCACATGAACCCTCCAGCCACCACCAACATGCACGGCATCGCAAGGCCAGCTCTGCCTCACCCTTCTGTGTCGCACGGAAATGCTGATCCAGGGCCTCCCGTACGCCAGACCAATTCTTCAGTTCCCCAGCGATCCAGGCACCCCTTGCAAGACAGCGGTGGCTCCAAAATTCGCCAACCTGAAAGGAGTCGTTCTGGAAACCAAAGACATGCTAATGTCTTTGATCCCAGTCTTCCTCATCTTCCTCTGGCTGCTAGTGGCAGTATGATTCTCGGACGTCAGCAGCCCAGCACCGAGAAGAGAGGGAGTATTGTTCGCTTCATGCCGGATAGCCCACAAGTACCGAATGAGAATTCAGCACCTGACCAGCATACCCTGTCACAAAATTTTGGTTTTCCTTTTATTCCCGAGGGTGGCATGAATCCACCCATAAATGCAAATACTTCTTTCATTCCACAGGTTACTCAGCCCAGTGCCACTCGAACTCCGGCCCTCATCCCTGTAGATCCCCAAAACTCTCTACCCTCTTTCTATCCTCCCTACTCCCCTGCTCACCCTACGCTGTCCAATGATATTTCAATCCCTTATTTTTCCAATCAAATGTTCTCAAATCCTAGCACGGAGAAGGTGAACAGTGGGAGTTTAAATAACCGGTTTGGGTCCATTTTATCTCCTCCCAGACCTGTTGGTTTTGCTCAGCCAAGCTTTCCTCTTCTCCCCGATATGCCCCCAATGCACATGACCAACTCTCACTTATCTAATTTTAATATGACATCTTTGTTTCCGGAAATAGCTACCGCTCTTCCTGATGGCTCAGCAATGTCACCTCTGCTTACAATAGCAAACTCCTCTGCTTCTGATTCTTCTAAGCAGTCCTCGAACAGACCTGCCCACAACATAAGCCATATCTTAGGTCATGATTGCAGTTCAGCTGTTTAAATACCCAGAGACTAAATGTAAATCCGGCGGGTGGGATGACTAATGCATTTGTGTGCATTTGCACATATATGTGTATGTAGTGAGATTGGATGTGTATGTCTGTTGTCTGTATAATCAATTTTCAGTTATTTTCTGAATGTCGGGAAACCCTGTCGAAGATGATGGGACGGGTTGTCCGAAAGAAATTACCCTTCATTTGTTACTGTATGTGTGCTTAAATTTTTTTTTTTTATTTTCAACTTTGACTTTGTAATGTTATATTTCCTAAATTTTAATCAGCTGGAACTTGGGGGAGAGCATCCTGGTGCATACTGGTTAGTAGGAAAGAAGCTATATTTTAAACCTGATTGTTAATAATTTGTGAAATAGATCGTTGAGTTGCTATCCAAAAGTACAGTTTGATGGAACACACAGTGACTCGTAACCAAGTGATGGCTAATGTCAACATGGAGACCATTTATTTTAAACCTATGGGAAGTATTAAGTTAATGTTGAGTTGAATACCCCTGGATAAACTCGCGCAGTCAGCAGATAAATGAGTAGTTTAATCAGCCTTGACTTCAGAAGTTTGGTTTAGGTGGAGACTTTCCTTTTAAATATAATAATTCATAAATTATCTGAATTTTATGTTTTGAAATTAGCAAGCCAGGTTGCCTTTCAGTGTGCCAAGATCCTTTAAGGCAAAGATCTTCCCTAAAGAATTGGCCTTAAAAACAGAAAGCGGAACAGTGAAATACTTAGTTCTCCATTTTGCCCCTTTATTTCGCATCACTCCATCAGGATAAAGTCAATTATATTGTGGAGTTTTATGCATGTGTTCAGTTAAAAATAGTTTGATTAATTGAATTTTGTTTTAATATTCTCTTTTCATTCTATAGATTTGATCTTGAAATAAATTCCCTTATACTTGTATAATCATCAAAACTGATTAGCAATTAATGTGTTTGGAATCCACTATATTTGAGCCTTTTAAAATATTTCTGAGTAGAGTCTTAAGCTCTGCCATTGTTTTCATTTCATTAACTGAGTAAATTTTATTGCATTGCATTTCATTAACTGATTTATATGTTTAATGGCTTTTTGTACCACGTTATCATCTTAAATTGTAGAATTATAATGAAATGATGAATTTGCTCATGATTATGGTATGAAATGGTGCTGCAAAAATTGTCTTTATATCTATCTGTGTAAGTATATGTGTATACAGACATAGATTTTCACGTGCAAGCGAGGCCTGCCATCTGAAGTGGGAAATTGATACCTGAGATCTGCTAAATTTTCGAAAAACTTGAAGTAGGGTTTTTAAAGTTCCACTGAAGTTAATCACAAGTTTCAAAATATTTATATACCTATATATAGATATAGATAAACACACTCAAGTACTGAGTTTTAGAAATGAAGCAGAAAAAAACAGGAAAGTGATTATGTATTATTTTTTGTTGTTACGTTCTGTCCAAAATAGCACTTAGTGGGAGAGATACACATAAATTGTTCGGTCTGCTCTGTTAAGGAAGTGAACCCAAGGGCCAACATTTTATTTATTAAGGCCTCCTTAAAAGAGCCTCCTAATAAGGCTTGTTCAGAGCAGTTACTCCAACAAATACCTCTTCTAAAGACCCAGAAAAAGGGTCTTATGTGCCTCTTCAACTTTTCTTACCAAACTTTACTCTTATTCCTTCCTGCCACTGACTGAAGCAGCCTCTTAGGGACAAAGAATATTGTAAACCAAAAAATCTTCTGTATTTTCTTCCTTCAGAATGGTCATGGGAGTAGTCACTTCATCCAGACAATAGATAGACATGTTAAGTAAAACCTTGAATTGGGAAAAGTGATGTTTCTGACTTTGATTTTTTGTTTTGCGGGGAATTGTATGTGGTGTTGGGGGTCAGCCGGGTACAAGGCAGATGCCTCCGGCTGTGCTGTACTATCGCTCCCACTCACTTTTTTTTCTTAATTTATAATTTTTTATTTAATTAAGGAACTGTGATTTACAAAGTTATAAGAGATTTTTTTTTTGCTTGTTTTTTGGGGCCACATCTGGTGGTGTTTAGGGCTGACTGCTGGATCTGCACTCAGGGATCACTCCAGGTGGTGCCTGGGGGACCATATGGGATGCTGGGGAATGAACCCAGGTCAACCAAGGCAAGGCAAACGCCCTAACTGCTTTACTATCACTCTGGCCCCTCTGCCAGGTTTTTAATATCTGAATTCTAAGTTTTAAAATTCCTGTTTTTCTTTGTACTTGAAAATTTCAGCTCACTGATTTCGAGGATGTTTTTTAATATGGTTAGTTATTCAGTCTGTCTTTTTCTCTTGTCTGTCTCTTGGTCCCTTCTCCTCTACCTGTCACGTGAATGCACAAGTACACGAACACACACAGTGTCTTCTATTGAGCTCCAAAGAATTGTGGACTATAGATTTAATTGGAACAGAGTGACAGGCTAAGGAGAAGCAGCTCAATTTGAAGACTTGAGGGAAGGCCTCAAACCCTAGTACTGTATTTTTCTATTGTATTGATTGCATTTTTATTTTTTCTGCTCAGCTTTGTTCAGAGATTGCATCTGTATTTCTTGCAACTTTGATTCTAGGAATATTACACTTTGATCCCAGATCTCTACAGCACAAGAGAGGCGTAAGAAGCTAATTTGACTGTCTAGGGAAAAAAAGTGATGGTCTGCAAATAACCAAGCTGTCACTCACATAGAGTTTTAATTATTTTATGGATTATGAATTATAAATCATTTTATGTTTGCACTCGATTCTGAAAGCATTCAGAAATGTGAATCTGATTTAAAAACACCAACATATTAATATTTAGCAGTATATTAACTTTTTGATAATTAAAGCTACATGGTTGAAGGAATTTATGTTTAATATCTATCAATATGAATGCAATTTTGGCAGAGAAATCAGAAAGTCGGCTTTGGTTATGATGACTTTAATGTTATTCTGGCTTGCTAATATATGACTATAGAAAGAAAAACAATTTCCAAAAATAGGTTATACTTTCTGGATTTGCATATACTCATGAGCCCCTGCTCTCTCTATTTCAGTGTTGGTTTCCGTCTTCCCCTCCACTGCTAAGGTTCAAACCTAAGTCCTCCAATTCTCAGTCATCGGCCTATATATTCCCACTCACCTCTCAACGTTTGACTATATAGGATCAGTTTCAGAGACGAAGTAATTCCTCTAAAACCAGTAATTTCTAATGAAATGGAAAATGTATTCCTGTGTCTGTGGTTTGGGGCTGTTCCTAGCACAGCTCAGGAGACCCAGGGGTGCTGGGGACTGAACCCGGGCCCCCTGTGTGCAAAGCAATGCATCAGCCCATTCAGCTCTCTCTCTGCTCCATCGAATATAATTTTTTCAAGTGTCAGTCATGGATAAAAGAAATAAAGTTTGCTGGTATTTATTTCTTTATTCTTACTGTGTTGACCTGTGCAGGTTGTTTGGGATATTTTGTGCCACTTCAGGAAATGTATTTTTGTTTTGAATGTAAGCCCTTTTGGTGATGGCACTGTCTTTCCAAGGAGAATTTCACAGTGATCATGCTTTATAAAAGTTAATTAATCGGAAATGTGGAAAGAGACAAAGGGGGAAAAAAACTAAAGCAACTTTTATTCACAGGGTGAATTGCAGCGAGTTCTCCAATGACCCTTCTTAAAATAAAAAATTTATTTCAGAATTTTAGAGACAATTCATTTGCCTTGTTCTTGCCTTCTAGCATTAGCCATTTTGTGGGAGACGCTATAGTTCATGCTCTCAAAAAACGTGAAATGCGTTTCAACGAGTAAAGTTTTACTAGTTTGAGAAAGGGTAAAGACCTATGAATATGCATGTTCTTAGCATTGTCATTCTTTGATACCTCAGCTCTTATTTTTATCCATCTCTCTGAACAGGTAGCAGGGAAGCTGGTCATCTTTTGCCAGTGTGACTACTCCTTTGCCTTGAAATGTTTATGGACCCACCGTAGTGGGTTACGCTCCCAAATCACTATGTCCTGATTGCTGACCTTGGGAACTATTGTATCTCCCATGCTATTAAGGGGTAACCAGAAGTCCTTGAAATAAAGTTAGTTCCAAATTGATGTAAAATATTTAACGTGCCATATAGCTCTTTTTTTGTTTGTTTGGCAGAGGGATGCCTCCCGGTGGTCCTGGGCCACGAGGCTGCATCTTTGGTACTTAGGAGGCCCACATAGTGCCCGGGGTGAGCCCAGGACTGTGCATGCCAACTTGAGCTGCAGCCCTTTGTGCTATCTAGAGAGATGAGTTTGCTCCAGTCTTCTTTTTTTTTTTTTCTCTCCTTTCAAACATGGAGATTAAACATGCGAGGCATGTACTGAGCTGCAGCCACTGAGCTACAGCCTTGTCCCCTGTTCCTTATTTTGATGAATTTGTATTTTTCCCATGAAGGATCGAAGAAAGGGTAAAAGTCATTCATAGTACGATGACTTTTGATTGAAATCCTTGGGAACCTGGAAGTTATTGTAGTCTTGTAGTCTGTATAAGTAAGTCTGTCCTTTTTCTGAGATTTTCTGGAAGTCATGTCTTATGGCTTATGTCCCTTATGGGCATGTACACCCAGAGGGCAAGATGAATTAGTGTGAGTTTAATTTGTGAGTGATGGTTCTGTGATACCTCTATGCAAATCAAAGGCAAGAAATTAGTTTCTTCTAAAGATTCCTTTTTGGCTGACGACTGCCATTTCTCCTCCCAGAGTACAATAGAAAAACGTCTTGCTTTGGATTTTATCTTAACCAGATCTCTCTGCATTCTACACTTTCCATGTGAGTCTCTGAGTCTTTGTTTGTCCTAGAGCCTGTAGTTTAGCTATCAGGTTTAGATTGAGACATTCAGATGCACCAGTAAGAACTATGGAAAACCTTCTTGGACACAGAACTTCAATTCTGCCCACATGCCTCGACCCTGGTACTGCACTTTACCCAAAACTGTGCCTCTGGTCCTACGACCAGCCATTGGGACATAATCACTCACCTTCTCCTCTATGATAGCAAAAGACCAGCCAGGATGGTACATGCTATGAAATCAGACACCTGGAAGACAAGAACAGCTGATGTTTCTCACTATTGCCTTACCATTCTCTGAGCCATCTTTGATGCCGATCTTGTATAAAAAAAAAAAAGCAAAAAAAAAACTTACTAGTTAGAAGCAAAACTCCTTTTAATCACAGAGTTCATATGTGGTGGTCATTAAATGTCTTTATTTCGAGATTTGCACAAATTCTATTAACTATAATCTTTTTCTGTTACAGAACAAAAATGTTCAGATGCTTTGCAGACATGAGCCAACTTGGGTTGAAAATATTGAACATAATATCCAAGTGGATGTTATTTTTACATAGCTGCATAATCTGCCATTAGAGATTTTACAAGACAGAAGATAGCTCTCATTTGTAAATTATCACTTTTTTAAAAAAAAATGATCATTACTTTTTGGGGTTTCCATTGTCTAGCTATACTATGTCATAGGAACTTGACATTTCCTCCATCTGAATCATCGCATAGCTTTTCTCAATCTGTTTCTCTACCCCCCTGAGTCTTAAATCCATTTTTCATCTGTGAGGCCACTGAGGCACTAAACTTGACTATATCAGTAACTTGTAAGGGGAGTTGAACGATTGTTCTTTCAAGAAGGGGCCAGACAGTGTTTCTTAAAATGCTGCAGTTATTACTGTGAAGAAAAGACTTGCTTCCTTTTCCAACAGGCCATATATATGTATGTATATATACATATAGGTAAAGAGATATATGTTCATTTAGGTAAAAATAGGTGGAAAAAACAGAACATAATTACCTTCACAACTTATAGATTCACTGGGTGAAAAGCTTACTGTAAGGCGGTTACCAGATTGAAAAACAACTGTAGTGCTTTCCTAGTGTAATATTTGTATCTATATTCATGCCAGCAGGATCAGCTGCGCACTGTCCTATTACTGTAAATCATCTGGCTTATCATGCTAATGGGAACTAATTTGTTTTGTAATGGAATCCAGAGCAGATATGTATAAATAAGATCAGGATTGTCCTACAATTGTAAATAAGAATAGGTCCTGTTTATTTTGACATCTTTTTACAAATGCATTGTATTAGGGTGTGAATATTCTGAACCATGCTCTTGTTTAAAGTTTTGAAATTTTTATTGGTAAATGTAACATTTTAATGGTTGTAATAATTATTTGTATAGATATGAATATAGTATTTTATTTAAGAAAATAAACTTTGCACTTTTGCATTGTGAATTGCCTTTCATGATCATCTCAATTATGCCATGTAAGTGTGTGTGGGGGTAGGTGGGTGTGGGTGGCTGTGTGTGAGAGAGAGAGTGAGAGAGAGAGAGAGTGAGTGTGTAAGGACACACTGTCCCAGCTAGCTGATACCTTTGCATACTGAGCTGAGGATGGCCTCAACCACAGTGACCTTGAATTGGATTTGAAAGTGAATGAATACAAATTGTTTCATTTTAGGAGTAGTTGGAGTACTTAAAATTTGGTAATCAGATATAAGTCATAGGAACTTAACTATTATTTATAACAACAGTGATAAACCAATAAAAATTGTTTTCATTATGCATCATTTCATTTAAAGTCACAGTTTCCAAAAACTTATTAAGGAAGTTAAGTGAGAATTTATTGTATTTTAGGTTTCTACTTCATTTATAGTTGTTTTTGTCATGAATTTAATATGTCCACCCTAATAAAAAAATGTATTAAATAATCTTGGGAATCACTTACTTCCACATATATTCTAGTAAAGCTCCAAATATTTTACTTGTCCTAGCTTCCCTGTGATCTATCACAGTCTCATTTTTTCCTACTCTTGTATGTTCCATCTTATAGTCGTGGAGAATCATATATTTTTTTTACATAAGAATGTGCTATAGGGGCCGGAGCGATAGCACAGCAGGTAGGGCCTTTGCCTTGCAGACGGCCAACCCGGGTTCAATCCCCGGCATCCCATATGGTCCCCCAAGCACCGCCAGGAGTAATTCCTGAGTGCAAAGCCAGGAGTAACCCCTGAGCATTGCTGGGTATGACCCAAACCCAAAAAGCAAAAAAAAAAAAAGTGCTATAAAGGATATATACAATCTTTTGTATGAAAGCATTACATACTAATGGCATGCAAATGATTTCTCAATAAAACTCTTATTTAAATGTTATTCTACTAAAATGTCTTAAAGTCCAAGTGGTTTTAGAGACATTATCTCTAAATAGTAAAGGAAGCCATAACAGCAAATTACCCAAGCTCATAAAATGCAGAGATCACTTTCAAAATTGTTTTAGGTTAACGTAACTTGATACCAAAACTTGTCACAAAAAGTGGGGTAGGTGCCAGGCTGCGGCTGACCTGAGTTCCATCCCAAGTGCCACAATATGGTCTGTCCCCCAAATCCTCCAGGAGTGATTCCTAAGGACAGAACCAGGAGTAAGTCTCAGAGCACAGCCCAGTGTGGCTCAAAAATCTGTCGCACTAGAGTACAAGAAAATCACAGAGCAACATACTTGATGAACATAGATGTGAGAATTTTAAATAAAATGATAACAAATTTAGTAATACAGGAATCGACACCAATAAATGGGAATTTATTCAAGAATGCAAAGTGATCTTTTGTTATTTCAAAAACAATTCATGCATTAAAATAACAAAGGAAGAGCCCATATAATAATGTAAAGAATTAAAATTCAGCATCCAGTTTTGCTTTTTTTTAAAAAAAAAAAACTCTAAAAGAAACTAGGACAAGGAGATAAACTGATGAATTATATCAACAGAGAACTGCTGTAGTCCAGAGGAAAAGCACAAATGAACAAACTATAGCAAATATACCAAGAGATTTAACCTTGAAATTGGGAATAAAACAAATACGGTCATTATCACTTGTCTATTCAACATTTTATTGATGTTCCCTGTTTTATTAAAGAATGAGGATATTAACCAAAAATATGTAATGTGCTGGAAGAATGAAAGACTCAGTGCAGAAAAAGCCAGGTTGCTGAGATGTCTGTTCTCAAGTTTGTACGTAGGGGTTATGCAATTGCCTGCTGTTTACATCTCTACAGGGATAATTGCTTGTTAGTTGGAAATAACCTGATTCTAATATAATAGTTATATTAATATAAATGTTCTACCATAGCCTAAATGACTTGGAGAACATAGTTTGAATACTTAAAAAGAGCTCAAATATTATAAAGTTCCAGTAATTAAAATTTTGTGGGTCAGAGAGATAGCTCAAAGGGCTGGAACCTATGCTTTCATGTAGACAGATAATCCACTTTCATTTCGAACATTGAACCCTCTCTGAAAACAAAACAGTACAAAACTTTGTGATATCGCCACCAGAATAGACTACAGAGTAATGAAACAGAAATTCTCAGAAATAAATAGCACACAGGTAATCACTTGACTGATGACAAAGGTGCAAAATATTTAATATAAAGGGTTTCCAATAGGTGGGCTGAAACAACGAAACATCAAAATTCACAATTCTAAGAAGAGCCAGTTTCACTTCAGATGTCTTTGAGAATGCAATATAAATTACTGAATTCATTTCATCTTGAGTATGCTTTTAATTTTATTATAAAAATTAATTGAATCACCATGAGATACGCAATTGCAAAGTTGTTCATGTTTTGGTTTCAGTCATACAATGTTCCAAAATCTCCTTGGGGTCTTCAGTTAATGTTTTAGGAGTGTGAATGGGTCCTGAGACCAAAAAAATTGGGAAATTGTATTCCAGAATAAACCATGGGATTATCTGCTTCATCATAACTATAGAATTTAGGAAAAAAAGGTTAGATTTTATTAAAATGAAGAATTTCTCTTTGGGGCTGGACTGTAGCTCAGTAGTAGAGTCCTTGCAAAGTTGGACCCTTGGCACTATGTACGGGGAAGCATGACGAAAGGGGAGAAAAACAACAAAACAGAAATTTTCTTCATTAAATCATGTACTGGTATATATTTATATATGTGCATATATAATATATGTATATATAATACATGTGTTTATATATAATAAATGACTCATGAGTCTTTGAAACATGGGCGAAGAACTTGAACTAATTTTTTACAAGATGACTAAGAGGTCTATTACATCAGTAATTTTAGAGAAATGCAAAGTGAAATATAATGAGATATCATTGCACTCTCATCAGAAAGGCTAAAACAGATAGAACTGACAAATGTCAAGTTTTAGCAAATTTGTGGAAGCATTGGTGCTCTCATATGGTGCTAGTAGAAACTTACATTAGTATTGGGGCCAGGGAAGTAGTACAGTGGGTAGGACCCTTGTCTTGCTGACCCTGGTTTGATCCCTGACACATATATAGTCCCCCCAAGCTCAGTCACAAGTAATTCTTGAGTGCAGAGCCAAGAATAACCTCTGGGTATCGACAGGTATAGGCCCCAAACCAAAAAACAAATTAAACACAAACAAACAAAAAAGGTAAAGGCCCTCCCGTTGATCGTTGATTTGCTCGAGCGGGCCCAGTAACGTCTCCATTGGAGACCTTGTTGTTACTGTGTTTGGCATATCGAATACTCTCGGTAGCTTGCCGGGCTCTCCAAGAGGGGCAGAGGAATCGAACTCGGGTCGGCCATGTTGGCCACTTGTAAGGCGAACGCCCTACCGCTATGCTATTGCTCCAGCCCACAAACAAACAAAACTTATGTTAATATAATTACGTAGGAAAATTGTTGGCAGTATCTGTAAAACTAAAATGGTCTCTCTGATAATTCAGAAATTTATAGAATGCTGTTTATATACTCTGAAAAGGTTTTTTTGTATAAATTCATCAAAGACAGGGGCTGGAGTGATAATATAGCAGATAGGGCATTTGCCTTGCACATGGCCAACCCGGGTTCGATTCTCAGCATCCCATATGGTCCCCTGAGCACTGCCAAGAGTAATTTCTGAGTGTAGAGCCAACAGTAACCCATGAGCATCACTGGGTGTGGCCCAAAAAGAAAAAAATATATCAAAGAGAGGGATCATAATGTTCATAGCAACTTTCTTTTGGTTTTGTTTGTTTGGGTCACAGCCTGCAGTGCTCAGGGCTTTCTCTGGCCAGGCTCTGGGCCCTGATGAGGTCCAGGATTGAACCTGAGTTGACCATGTGCAAGGTAAGTGCTCTACCCTACCTACTATGTCTCCCGGTCCCCCACCCCCATCGAAGCCTTCTTTATAGTAGCGCAAAACTGGGAACAGCTATAGCAGAATAGATAAATGACATTTCGTTTTACTCACAAAATTCACACACACCCTACCGAATCTCAGAGGTATTATGCTGAGTAAAAAAAGACAGACAATGTGGAATTACATACTGCATGAAAAGTTCTCAAAAATTGATAAAAACGTAGACTAGTGATTTGCCTTGGGACACAGGTGAATTGGGAACAGGAATGAGAATGCAGGGAATAGTATAGCGGGTAGGGCGTTTATTATTGTGTATATATTGGCATCATGGCAGTTACATTGGTATGGGGGAATACACGTTGATACAAACATATGCAAAATTCAGCAATCTATGTTCTTTAAGGTGAGTGTCTAGTTTTCATACTACTGAATAGATTTTATTTACCTTTACTTTTTGTTTTATTTGGGGGCCACAGTTGGGTGGTACTCAGCATTATTCCAGGCTCTATCTCAGGAGAGACCCCGGAGGTACTTAGAGGATCGTATACTGTGCTGGGGATAAAACCAGTGTCAGCCACTTGCAGGCCAAGCACTTCACTCCCTGTGCTATCATCTCTCTGCACCAACAAAATGTATTTCGTTTTTAGTTGTTTATCTACATTTAACTTTACATTAATGTAGTTATCAGAGGAAGTCTGGACTGTTGATTTTTTCCTGACATACTTCTTTTTTTTTCTTTTTGGGTCACACCTGGCATGGCACAGGGGTTACTCCTGGCTCTGCACTCAGGAATTACTCCTGGCAGTGCCCAGGGGACCATATGGGATGCTGGGAATCAAACCCGGGTCGGGCAAACGCCCTACCCACTGTGCTATCGCTCCAGCCCATCCTGACATACTTCTTGAGTCAGCAACATCTAAAAGCTATTTTTACTGTCATTCTTCAGGGGAAAAAAAAAGGCCACAGTGTGCTTTCATTCCTGGTTTCTGTTTCCTCAGTGTGTGACTTTGGGAAAAACATATAACTTATGTGAATTTTAGTGCATGTTAGTTTATTTGTTGGTACATTATCTGTCCAGTCTACCTTACAGGATTCTTGTGAAAGATAAATAAG